TATATTATAGTGAAACAAACAGTGTCGTTGTATCTGTTAATTTATATCGGTTATCAAAAGATCAAAATGGATATAATTTTGACTATATAATGCAATACAAATTCTTAAAAAAAAATCTGTCCACAGTTCGTTATGGTGGAGGTAAGATGTAGTTTCTAATATATTAAATATATATTATTAATTAAATAGTTTCTAATATATATATATATACAGGGTGTTTCAATAAAAACTCCCAGGCCAATTATTTCGAAAACTAAAAGTGACATTTAAATTCTGTAAACGCCAGTTTTTAGCCTCTATGATTGGCTTCACAACTGTGTGAAAAATGTTTTTGAATAATACAAGATGTAGGTGGCGCCACTGTGCAAAAAAATTTTTCGATGGCAGCTACTTTTAAATTAATTTTTGATCAAATTATGTCCCATACAAATTTTTGATAAATTCGACATGAACGGAGATATTTGGGGTTAAGTTTTTTTTAAATAATTTTAACGAGTATTTTAATTATAAATATTTTTAATATGCTTTAGCAGATGATCATATAATTCTGGTAATCATAATTATAGTGATAAAACGCTAGTGTAGCGCTAACTAGATTAAAATTATTACGTTCAGTGACGCCTCAGGGGGCCCCTTAACAAATAATATTGGCAAAAAATAATACGCCACTGAGTTTTTGGTAATTTTTATATTTTTATTCGGACTAAGCAACTAAAAATATCCTTTTTTTGTCTGTTAAATTGTTTTCATATCTTCCTTCGTTTTCGAGAAATACAAATAAAACCATTTGGAAAACAAAAATCATTAAGAAACAAAACCATAAATTATTAATACGCTATATTTTTTGCTGTTTAAAAACAAAGGTAAAACATTAAAACATAATAAAATAAAATTAAAGGATGTTTTAAATTTTATGAAAGAGTGGTGAGAAATTATAAAAAATTATTAAAGAAAATTAGAACAATACCAAAAACTAACTAATAAGGTCGAACGAGGTGTTCAAAATTATTGCCGTTTTTATACACACATATCAAATCGATATAATAATTCGGTTCTGCAAACTTTCAATAGTGTATTTTGATTAATAGCGGCTATAGTAACATATATTTTGTTGTACAGGTCAGCCATGTCTTCTATTGGTTCCTTGTAGACTTCTTTTTGTAAGCCGCCCCATAAATAAAAGTCAGGGGACCTTGCTGGCCATCTAAGATCCCCATTTGTGCTGATCACTTTTCCTGAAAACGCCATTTAGATGATTCATAACCATATTGCTATTGTGTGCTGGGGCACCGTCTTGATGAAACCACATAGTATTTACGTCAGTTCACAAATTTTGTAAAAGCAAAGTGAGATCGTTTTTCAGAAATTGTAAATAACGAACTGAAGTTAAATGTTCATGGTACAAATAGGGCCCGAATATGTAACCATTTACAATACCGCACCAAACATTTACCCAAAATCGTGTAAAATTTAGTCTGTCGTATCCAGTTAGGATTTTCCTGGGACCAATAGCGACAATTATGTTTATTAATTACTCCATTATTGTGAAACCGGGATTCGCCACTCCACATAATTTGGTTTAATAAATTTGGATTTTCTTCCAAAAGAATATGAAAATGTGTCAAAAAGTTTAATCTGCGCTGGTTATCTCCTTATTGTAGATGATGCACTAGATGAACCTTGTATGGAAAAAACATATTTCCTTTTAGGAACTTACTGAAATATTGGTTTCATCTTTTAATATTGAAATATTAGTTTCATCTTTTAATTTTTGTAATGACGATTGTGGGTTATGTTTTACTGATTGGAGGACTAAACCTACATTTTCGTCAGTCGTATCCCTCTTCCTTCTTGGAACCGTTTCCTTTTTAAAGCTAACATATGTAGCTAAGTGGTACACAAAGCTACAAAAGATTTGCGATCTGGCGTTGGTCTCGATAGCAGCGCACAGCTTCTGAAGCATTTTAATAATAATAATAATAACGTTTATAATAATAACGTTTATTGTTCAACAGATATAACATCCAATTACAGAACAATTACATAAAAAAAAAGAATAATAATAAAAATTCCTAATATCTATAAAATAATATTATACAAAAAATTTAATAAAATCACGTAAAAAAATGTGTACTTAAGTGATTTATTATAACTCCAATACTTTGAAAGTTTATATCACAATTATTGCAATATTTATTAAAATTATTGCACATAAAATAAATCGGTGACTTAAGCATAACATTTGATTTAGCGTTTGGGCAATAAAATGTGAGGTTGGTTCGAGTGTTACGTGGTGTTAAAAAATTTATTTGATTTAATAATAAAGGGGCGTCTATTTTGTTATGTACCAAATTATACAAAAATTTAACACTTAATATAGTTCTTCTCAGTTGCAGGGAACTAAACCCAAATTCGTTCAAAAGAGCCAAGTGATCATAACCTTGAGATGGATACACATGGTTTTGTTTAAAAGACAAGAATTTTAAAAACTTACGTTGTATTTTCTCCAAACTATTTATATGAGTAGCGTATATAGGACTCCAAATTAGAAAACCGTACTCCAGCTTGGATCGTACAAATGAATAAAATAAAGTTTTAAACGCCATTTCACATTTAAAGTTTTTGGTGTTTCTAATTATGAAGCCTAGAGTTCTGTTAGCAGATGATGTTATGCTATTAATGTGGTCGAGAAAGTTAAATTCGTTGTCAAATAAGACTCCCAGGTCTTTAATGGCAGTTTCACGGGAAAGCAAATTTTGGTTTAAGGTGTAATCAAAGTTCGTTTTACTCTTTTTTTTAGTGTATGTAATTACTTTACACTTATTTGCATTGAGACCCAGCTGATTTTTTTTACACCAGTCTTCAATCTTGCATAATTCTTTTTGAAGAATCTTACAGTCATCAGCACTGCGTATTTCTTGAAAGATTTTGAAGTCATCAGCAAATAAAAGCTTTTCACAAACAATGTCATCAGCTATATCATTAATAAAGATTGTGAAAAGAAGAGGACCTAGATTGGACCCTTGTGGTACACCCGAGGTTGATAAAAACTTTAGACTCTTAAAACCATTGTAGGAAACATACTGGTATCTATTACTTAAATAGGAGGCAAAGAAATCCTGAAGTGATTCCGAAAATCCAAACAATTCAAGCTTTGAAACAATAATAGAATGGCATATCCGATCAAAGGCCTTTGAAAAATCTGTATATATCGCATCTACCTGTCCACGTTTATCCAGTACTGCAGAGGTAAACTGAGTAAAATAAGTAAGATTAGACACCGTAGAACGGTTTTCCATAAAACCATGTTGGTAAAGAGAGATAGAGTTTTTGACTGAGGGGTAGATACGCATATATAAAGAAATTTCAAAAACCTTTGAAAAATTCGATAAAATAGCTATAGGTCGGTAGTTGTTGATCAAATTGTTAACACCACTTTTAAATATTGGACACAATCGGGCTACCTTCCACATATCTGGAAAAGTTGATGTTTTTAAGGATAGATTAAACAAACATAATAGAGGTTTGCAAAATATTTGTACGCAGTCTTTGATTAAATAGGATGGAATCTGATCATCACCCGATGTATCTTTGTTTTTAAGTTTTTTGATTGCCTGAATAATATCATTTTCATGTAGTTCGTTTATTAAAATATTAGAAGCAATAGAAGCCTTGTTATTATAAATTTTATTGACATTATTTGTCGGCAAGTAAACACTTTGAAAATAATGTTGAAAAGCATTGACGATAGTATCTGGAGAATTAAAGCACTGACCAGTATCATCATACAATTTGCCTGGAATCCTTGTTTGACCTTTTTTAGAATTAATGAAAGACCAAAAGTTTTTGGGGTCATTTGAAATATTTGTTTCGATCTTATTTATGTAGTTTTTGTACGCATCACTAATATTCGATTTTAAAGATCTTCGCAGGTTCTGAAACATTACAAGATCATTTTCACTATTAAATTTTTTAAAATTTGTGTGGTATTTATTTTTTAATTTAATACATTTAATAATATCAGGTGTATACCAATTTGGGTATTTAGCCGATAAATTAACTTTGAATTTAAATTTGGGGACAAATGAATCTAAAATGTTATAAATAACTTTATAAAATTCATTGCAGGCTAAATTAACATCTTTAAAATTGTATAAAAATTCCCAGTCAACACCAAGCAGAGCCATATAAAGTCCATGAAAATTAGCTCTTTTAAAGTTATATTTTAGGTTATCGGAAACTTTTGGAAAATTTGGCACATTCTCTTTTATTAACATAACGTTCGCAACTAAAGCAGGATGGTAAACATCCTCAATTAATATAGGGTTAAACTCTCTACTTACCTCACATTTTACGTCACCAATAAAAAGATCTAAAAGTCTGTTATTAACATTAACGATATTATTAAATTGTGACATGTTTGAAAATTCTAAGAAATCCATCATTATCTTCCTGCTATTATCATTAACCGTAACATTATTAAGATGCGGAATATTAAAGTCGCCTAGTATAATTTTGTTGTCTTCGAGAATAATGGTTTCATGAAAGAGATTTAGAAATGAGTCCAGCTCAACGTATGAAATTCTGGGATGAATATACAATACAAAAACATAAACTTTCTTAAAATTAAAAATAATACTGCTTCCAACAATGTCAATACAAGGATGTCGAGATTGTAATATATCAAGATTAATACGTTCAGCAATAAAGTTTGAGTTGTAGGCCAATAAGACTCCACCACCTCGAGATACACCAACTGCTTCAAAATTACGATCGCTCCTAAGAACACCATAATCATTAGGAAACAGTTCTGAACTAGCTATTTCTTCCGACAGCCACGTTTCCGTTAAACAGACTAAGTCGAATTCCCTTTCGAAGGCAGACGCATGCAATTCTTCCACTTTGGATCGACACCCACGTACGTTTTGGTAATATATTTTTAACAATCTGTCAAGCTTTTTTTTATTTCTATTTGCATTATGGAGGATGGAATTTGATTGCTATTGCAAACCAAAGACGTCATATTTTAATTTCCCTAAAACATTTTTTAAAGCCTGACATTTGTCATGATCCCAGGCGGCATGACAAATGTCTACTCCAATTTTATTTTTCAAATTTAAGCAGTTTATGCATTTTAAAGACTCGGACTGGCAATCTTTAACAGAATGATTTTCGGCACATCGGGGACATATAGGATCATTTTTCTTGGAACAAACGCTGGAGTCGTGATTAAAGCCATTGCAAGAAAAACAACGTAGTACCGTTATGGCATCGTACACTTTACAGCTGTCCAGCCCAATAACTACAAAACCATGTTTCAGCAATTTTTGGTAGGTTATGATATCAGTTTGCAGTACTGCTTGATAAACCGTATCCTTATTTTTTAAGGCTTTTATTTCCACAATCTTAACTGTAGCTTGATCGCAAATTAATTCCTTATTTTGCAAAAGTAAATACTGCTTTATTTCCTCCTCATTCAGTTTTTCAGAAAGACCGACAATTCTGACTCTAGGTTGGATTTTATTGGCATCTTTAATTTTATAGTCTTTCAACTCCTTATCAGCTAATTCCTTAAACTTATTTGCTTCTTCAACATCATTACAACCCACTATTAGGCCACCATTTTTTATATTTTTAACTGAATTAATTTTGATGCTGTTAACCAGAGGGTTAATTTTTTTCATAATATCCATTTTAGTAACAGAGTTAAGCTGAGATTCATCGTTGGGTTTGATAATTATGGAAGACTGTTTTCTTAGTTTTTCTGCATAGGTTCCAGCCATAGGTGATGAAGTAGGTTGCAAGGACTTAAGCTTTTCTTCTGCTATTTGTTTAAAATCGATTTTAGCATTATTAAAAAGAGAATTTAAATCTTCAAATAGGGTTTCTCTACGACTACTTAAGAATAGTAACATTCTAGTGTAATTTTTGATCATAGAAAGGATGTTTTTCTGCAATACTGTGCGAGAATATTCCTACTCTTGTTTAAGAATGGTCACAAGTAACGACATCTCCTGGCTGTTTACTAAACGTAAAAAATTTAAAAATATTTAAATATTACTGTATTATTTATTAATTAAAAAATAATAGCAGTTGTATAATTAAGGTTTAGGCACAAAAAAAATAGTTATATTTATTGTTTTTCAAATATACAAATCAAAATTATAATAAATTTGATATTAAAATGATAAACCAGTTACCTACTATACCGGCTTTGAAGTTTTGACAGATTCAAAAAGTTTAAAAAAAGACCTTTGAAATGTAGAAAAAGAATAGATGTTGACATAGATTACTAAGTAGATTACAAGTCTTGTAAAATTAGTTTTGTATTTGTTACAATAACTATTTTTAATTATAATAAAGATTTAGGCATACCATTTGTTTAAATTTATTATAATTTACATTATAAAATTGTGACAGCACAAAATGGTTTGACAATACAAAAAACTTAAATGTCAAAAACTGCTTGGTTTCTTTTCTCTATTCTTACGTAGTCGTAGAGAAAATAATGTCTGAAACACGTTTGGAATAGCATATTCCACTCTCGTAAAACCGTCACCCTCGCCTTCGGCTTGTGTGTCAAATTTTTCCTCGAGCGGAATATGCTGTATTCCAAACTTGTTACAGAATGTACTATTCTATCTTTGATTCTAAATTAGTATAAAAACTGCATTTTGATGTCATTCTCCATAAACTAAAACCATGTATGTTCAATTTGTCTTGATTTGTATGGTGAACCATTTTTATTTTAGAAATGTAGAAATTGAAAATTCTTACACTGACACTAAGTAAAGAAAAAATTACTTGATGTTTCTAAAATTCAATTGTTTTTATTTAATGATTATTGTTTTTCAGAGATATGCAGTGAAATGGTTTTATTTTTATTTCTCAAAAACGAAGCAAGATATGAAAACAATTCAACAGACAAAAAAGGATATTTTTAGTTGAATAATCCGAAAAATATATAAAAATTACCAGACACTCATTGGCGTATTATTTTTTGCCAATATTATTTGTTAAGGGGCCCCCTGAGGCGTCACTGGACGTAATAATTTTAATCTAGTTAGCGCTACACGAGCGTTTTATCACCATAATTATGATTACCAGAATTATATGATCATGTGCTAAAGCATATTAAAAATATTTATAATTAGAATACTCGTTAAAATTATTAAAAAAAAAACTTAACCCCAAATATCTCCGTTCATGTCGAATTTATCAAAAATTTGTATGGGACATAATTTGATCAAAAATTAATTTAAAAGTAGCTGCCATCGAAAAAATTCTTTGCACAGTGGCGCCACCTACATCTTGTATTATTCAAACCATTTTTCACACAGTTGTGAAGCCAATCATAGAGGCTAAAAACTGGCGTTTACAGAATTTAAATGTCACTTTTAGTTTTCGAAATAATTGGCCTGGGAGTTTTTATTTATATATATATTTATCCGCCGACGGTGGACTAGTGGTCAGTGCTGCTGACTACAAGCCGAGAGGTCGTGGGTTCGAGCCCCATATAGGTATGGTTGTTTATTTGTGTTTGTCCTATTGTGTATTAGTCCTTCGGAGGGGACTTTAGGCCCGCGGTCGGTTCCTTCCCCTAACCCGCTCAAGCCATTCAGTTGGCTCCTGGGACTTTTTAGGAATAAGGCCTTAAGGGTGCAACTAAAGGAGCACAAAGAGCATTTTTGTATATAGTTTTGTATATATATATATATATATATACATATATATATATATAGGGTGCACGCACGTTTTTTTTTTACTTTCCGCTCAAAATATCGTAAAATATGTTCAAACAAAAAATTCTCTCACAAGCGCAGACCGTAGTTTCAACTTTAAGAGGTTTCTCATCTAATTTAAAATTTTCCCAAGGAAATAACACAGAAAAGTAAATTTTTCTAATTATTTTATCCCGCAAGCTTTGAAAACAATGTTTTTATAAAATAAAAAATTATCCTTATTCTTTTATCTTCTTGTTATTAAAATTCACTTTTTTAAAAAAGCACAAATTTATTTAAACATAAAAATTACAATATAAAATTATTAAGAACTTAATTTTATAATAAGACTGAGTATAATACTAAACTAACAAAGCATTCCTACTTATAAGTTTTTAAAATATGTTGTACGTGTTGTCTCAATGTTCTCATCATTGAATAAATGACGAGTTGCATTTCCCAGAGAATTCCATATCCATATCTTCTCCGATTAGATAACGAAATATGACTCTCGTAAAGTCTATGGTATCATCATTTTATCACATATAACAGATCCCCTTATTTTTGAAAAGTTGATGCTATGTCGGAAAATATACATTAATTTGATTAGCCTGTTTATTGGAATAACAATTTGGTTAGTTATTCGGTCTTATGGGAACGTGGAGATAAAGATCTAAAAAGGTGTAAATGTACTAACCCTCGAGGGAGTGAGATGGCCATTCTTAAACGGGCATTAAGACGGCTAAGACGCGTGTCAACCCGGAGAACGTGGATACTTTGGCTTCCGACTTTAATTAACTTTGTGTGTATAACCTTTAGCGTCTATTGTTTTGTCTAGTTAGATAATCGTAATAAAAAGTTGGTCAACAGTTTTTGTGCCACCGCAAAATAATTTGTGAGTGTAAAATAGTACATTATAGACGAGGCGGAGAAAGCACATAGTAGAGGCAGTAGATTGTGTGCGAGCTTTCGCCGACAATTTTAATACACTGTTTTTTTTTAAGCATTTATTAAAGAATTCCTTTAAATTCTGTCACATCATTTTAAATTTAGGTTCAACTGACATGATGACATTTTTGCTTCATTTCTGTACGGTTGGTTGGGACTGGTTTTAATTGTCTATTTTAGGTATAAATCACCACAGTTTTTTTAGTTGCTTATTTTAAAATGGCTTGCAAGCGTAAATTAAGAACTAATTCTTACTTAATAGGAAGCAAAAGGCTATATATTGTTTTAAAATATTCCTCTTCAGGAGCCAGTTAAAACTAACGTTGCATGAAATTAAAGGTCCTAAGGATATTTGTATTTTTGTTAATAGCCTTTACATTAAAGCGTGGTTTGCTGCGAAAGCACCTCTGCAAGACTTCAATTTTCTGAAAGATTTGTTTTTGTATAAAATCACTTACAAAGTTTTATCAAGTAAAGCTATAAAAGGTTTGGGGCCATCTTTGGTATTTGACAGCAGAGTCAATTGCTTTGGCGCTTTTCGATGAAAGCGTTAACATTGAAACAAAAATTGAGCTTGCAAAAGCAATCCAGGGAGATGAGGGCAATAAGGACGATTCCCAAAATTTAAAACGTGTTATACTTGAAGAAAAAGATGTTGTCACGATTTAAAATAGAAAATGAAACTCCCGGAAAAATTTTCAAAAGGGTTTGTCAATCGTCAAAAAGCTTAAAGTTGTAAATGACTCGGCCGAAAGAGGTGTCGAAGTTATGGAAGAATTTAACAGTATTTTAACAGAAAAGGAAGATAAGAAACAGTTTATTTTAAAAGTTGTTAAGGACTGCCGTAAAAAGTTCCCAAGCAGTAGTAAAACAGCACTTTTAAGAACATTTTAGATTAAATTAATTTCTTTAGACGTGGTTTTTTATATTTTTTTGCCTTACCATATCTTGTGTTCAATAAATTTATTACTATGGTGTTTGTTTTATAATAAAAAAATAAATGTTCCACCAAAACAAGGCCCTTGAGGCACGTCTTAGAGTTGATTGATCGGGCTCAAATTTTACACAGCTTATTATATTCCTATTTAAACAATTTTTAAGGGGTGAGACGGTCGGAATTTCACAACAAAAAATTTCATATATAAATAAGGACCACCCTAATATATATATATATATATATATATATATTAGGGTGGTCCTTATTTAGGGTGTGTTCGAATTTTTCTTCACGATAGTCCCAATTTTGAATCATCAAACCACAATAAAAATGGAAAAACCATGGAATTGACTAGAACTTTGATTTTGACCTCAAAAAACTTTTGAACCAGTCAAGTTAGCAAAAAATCACAAGAAACCTTTTTTGTAGAGCGTTAAATTTGTTACAAGAATATTTATCCTTCTATATAATCCGTTTATTAGTTCATGACTTAAAAAAATCCAAAGTAATAACAGAAGTTTTCCCATGTTATTTCCATTCAAAACTTTGGCTGTCGGGGGGCCGGCTTAATTTTAAAATTAAGAGCTGCAATTTGGCACATTATTTTTTTATTTATATTTGGAACCTATTTAGGACTATCGTGAAGAAAAATTCGGACACACCCTAAATAAGGACCACCCTAATCTATATATATATATATATATATATATATATGTATATATATATATATATATATATATATATATATATATATATATATATATATATATATATATATATATATATATATATATATATATATATATATATATATATATATATATATATTTACTTCCAGCATACAAAGTGAGCCACTTTCGAAGGTAATTTACTATTAAAGTGAGGTCCATGGCAAAGTGAGTACCGTATATGGTCCTCACTTTGTCAAAGCATTAATTTTATGCCTGAACGCTTCTGTGTTACATAAAATGTTGTTTCAGTAAGACATAAAAAAAGCCCCACTTTGCATTTTAGTTTCTTAAACCGCTACTAGGTGGCGCTGCTACCGCAACTTGGTGGCGCTTCTTGTTGAGTATATTTTCAAGACGTATATTTTTAGGTGCTTATAAGCAACTTTCTACGCATTAAGTGAGGACCATAAAATTGACAACTGTAAACGGTCCTCACTAAATGCTAGGAATGGTTTGTTGACTATAATTTTAATTTGTCTTTTGT